CTTCTATCTCCTGAATGCTGGGGCTTAAAGGCTTTAGTGAACAAACAGGCTGGCTCTTCTTCAGCCTTTATGGGCTAGTCTCTTAGGAGGACACTGGGCAAAATGAGGTTTCTTTCAGTCCAGTGAAAGAATGATGTGCTTCTTTGTGCTCGGCTGCCCTTCTGCAGAATGTGGCTCCAGGGGTCAAGGGAGGTGGGGATGGGAGTGTCAGGAGCTAACTGGTGCAGGCTGGCTCCTGAGTCCATGCATGGCCAGTCTGCAATGTGCCTGTATACTGGCCCAGTGCGGGATGGGCTGGGTGGAGCCTGGTTGTCCAGTGACCCTGCTCTTCAGGGTTAAGAAGAGACTAGAATTCTTCTTCAGACATCTCGTGGATTTTTGTTTGGTTTTGTTTTTCCTGTAGCTGTAAGAACGAAGGCTGTGCCTAGAACCCATGGCTGTCAGACCATCATCGGCTTCATGCAGGGTAAATAGGGTTGCTTTTATTTATTTATTTATTTTTGGAGGGGAGGAAAGGGTTTATTCAGCTCACACTTCTAAATTAACATTCATCACCGAAGGAAGTAAGGACAGGAACTCGAGTGAGGTTGGAATTCGGAGACAGAAGCTGATGCAGAGGCCATGTAGTCTTGCTGCTTACTGACCTGCTTCATATAGTTTGTTCAGCCTCTTTCATATAGAAGCCAGGACCACTAGCCAGGGACTGCACCACCCACAATGGGCTCGGAAATGCCTTACAGTCAGATCTAACAGAGGCAGTTTCTCAACTGAGGTTCCCTCCTTTCAGATAACTCCAGCTTATGTCAAGTTGACATAAAACTACACAACACAACTGACCCTTGACACACAAACACATCATTGTTAAGCCATAACCTTTCCATTCTTGTTCTTCCTTGCAATCACACATTAACAGCAACATTACAATATAAACATTCCAATTTTTTTTAAACCCTAGCCTTTAAAAATTCAAACATTTAAAATTTCAGTCTCTAAAAAAGTCTCTCAGCTGTGGGCTCTGGTAAAATCCAAAATAAATTAAATACTTTCTTAACCTCAAGAGGAAAGAACCAGGGCATACTTACATTCTGAAAAAAGCAAAACCAAACTCCAAAAGTGTAGACAACTTTATGTCTAATTATTTGGAATTCACTCATGATCTTCTGGATTATCTTAACTACTTCTGGTGTTCTTTGTGATACCATGGTCCTGGTATCTCTAAAATGCTGGGGTCTTCGGCAACTGGACTGCAGTTTACTAATAGCCTCTCTTGGCTCTCTTGAGGAACTGCCATACAGTGCCAAGCCCCAGCTGCTCAGCCCTTCATGCCTTCAAATCATGAATAACTCTTACACGACCAAGTTCAGCTGCTGGCACAAGTACAATCTTGGCCATGTATGCAACACAGATTCCATGTGCTGACTCTCAGGAAACACTTCCCAGAAGATTTCATCTCTGTGATGCTGTTTTCTTCTTAATCTCATAGGGTCACTTTTATAAAGCTGATTGAACATAGTAGGTGGTCGAGTTCACCCCTTCAGTCACACCTAGGCTTCTGGGCCTCCAGAAACTCGTGTCCGTTTACTTGGACTCTGTTGTCACGTGCAGGTCTGAAGGAAATTCTTTTGAAGGAGGTCATCCAGCACTTGACTCTATAAAGACTCTTAGGACCTCACTCCCACATTTCCCCCTTGTTTTGAAAATGTTTATTCATTTAGCGGCTTTTGCGTGCTGAGGCAGGTGTTGTCAACACGATGATAAATTTTGTTATCCTTTTGAGACAGGGTCTTACAACGTAGCTCTGGCTGGTATGGAACCTATGGCTGGCAAACTCACAGGGCTCCGCCCGCCTCTTCCTCCCCAAGAGCTGGATTACAGGTCTGCACCTCAGCACCCTCCCGGGTGCTAGGATCTTAACTCTGGTACTCTGATGGAGTAGTTAACTGCTAACCGGCCTATCCAGCCTTTCATTTCCCTTCAGGGAATTTCTTTGGAAGAGCAGCAATACTTTGTAGTTTACACTGCTGCTTCCTTCTTCTCTCAGCTCCAAACCAGCCTCACCCAGTTCTTTTTCCGGTAAATTCTAGAGCCCTCCACTCTCGAGGTAGAGCCTAATAACCATTTCATGTGGGGTTACTACAAGAGCTTTCTAATGTGTCTCTGTTCTTGTTTATTTAATCCTGTGGTGCTGGGCATCACACAAAGGCCCTCGTGCTTGCTGAGCCAGCAGTCTATCCCTGAGCTACACCCTCATCCCCTTTTCCTTTTATTTTGAGACCATGCTGTACTAATCGGGCCTTGATGTTGAAATTCTGGCTCATCTTCCATGTAGCCATTGGAATAGTAGCAGGCCTGTTACATCAGGCCAAGCTCTATTCTTTTCTTACTTATTTTTTTGTATAGCAACCAAGCTCATGTTTTTAAAAGCACAATAATTAGGACCCTCTCTAATCAAGCACATTTTAAAGCAGAAACTTTTTGCTCTGGCCTAGTATAGCTTGTTTTCTGCCTTTATTTTGCTTGTTCAGTGGGTTGTGCACCTACTTTACCCCAAACCATACCAAGCATATCTACCTGTTGGGAACTCTGCTTGGAGTAATAATTTTCGTGGATTACTCATTCTCCTCTTAGTTTTCTCCTTTTCTTTTATTTGGTGTGTGTGTGTGTGTGTGTTGTATAGTACATGCTGGGTTCAAATTCCATATTTTCCTACCACTACTCCTAAGTGCTGTTATTTTAGGTATGTGTATATCTGACCTCCCAGGTTTTTTTTTTTTGTTGTTGTTGTTGTTATTGTTGTTTGTTTTGTTTTGTTTTGCTTTTCTCACCCAGGTTTTTTTTTTTTTTGCTATCCTGGAACTCTCCCTATAGACCAGGCTGGCCTCGAACTCATAAATCTGCCTACCTCTGCCTCCCAAGTACTGGGATTAAAGGCTTGTGCCACCATTCCCAGCTTCAGTTCATTCTTTTTGATGTCTTATTGTCACTAGCTCTAAATGTCTTGTATTTACTCTGTATGCTGTAGTTCACTCTTTAACTAAATAAAATTTGGGGGCACTAAAATTCAAATGCAAACATTTATATTGTATTTAAAAATATATATTTCTGGGTCAGGGAGTGCTGTATTGTGCCACTGCATGAGTGTAGAGGTCAGAGGACAACTTGTGGAAGTCAGTTCTTTCCTTCCATCATACGCATTCTCGGGACTGAAGTAGGTTACTAGACTAGGGTAGAAAGCCCCTTTACTCACTGTACCATCTTGCCAGCAAGGTTTTTTTTTTTGTTTGTTTGTTTTTTTTAAGTTCTTTTGTTTGGGGACAGGGAGTATTGTTTTTGAGATAGGTTCTCAATATATAGCCCAGGATGGCCTTGAACTCACAGATTTGCCTGCCCCTGCCTTGCAAGTATGTTTGTTAAGAACTCTTTTCATAGCCTGGCAGTGATAGTGGCACATGCTTTTAAACCCAGTATTTAGGAGGCAGAGGCAGGCAGATAGGTCTCTGTGGGTTCAAGGCCAGCCTGGTCTACAGAGAGTTCCAGGACATCCAGGATTACACAGAAAAATCCGGTCTCAACACCCCCCCCAACACACACAAAAGAACTCTTTTAAAAATGATTTTCATCATGACCAGTTCATTACCAGGAGGATATTGTTTTTGTTTGGCTTAGTGTATTTCCATTACCTCCATGCTTTGCGCATATTTCTCTTGAAGCAGTGTTGTGACTGCTTCTTACTAAAGGGACAAGATTCTCCCCATCTCCCAGTTACACTGGTGGTCTAATCCAGGCCTACATGCATCCAAAATGAACCAACCATCAGTTATATGCACCTCAGCCCCTGCATGCTTCTTCAGATCTTTCGTTCTGTGTCAGAAATCGGGAACTGTTTTGTTTTCTTTCTGGAAGGCTGGAAAGAATGGTACCAGAAAAGTCAAGATGGAAATGTTCAGAGAAGCTATACTTGTAATGTGTTGGAAAAGCTTTTTATGAACAGAACCCATGTTTCTTCAAGGCAGAGACTCCATAACTGTGACACACTTGGGACAAAGGTGGTACAAAACTTGAGTTCAAGCAAAATTGCCCTAAGAAGGAATCCTGATCGATTTCATAGTTATGAGGAATCATTTTTTTTTTTAAGCATCAAAGACATCATAGCTTAGGAAAAGAACAGTGTGTGTAATGAATGTGGGAAAGCTTTTTGTTGTAAATCACAGCTTATTGCACATCTCAGAATTCACACAGGGAGGGAGCATACAAATAGACAAAATGTGAAAGAGCCTTCAGTGCCAAAGCAAACCTTAATGCTCATCAGATAGTTCACACAGGAGTAAAACCCCACTCATGTAGCGAATGTGGGAAAGTTTTCTGTTTTAGGTCACAGCTCATTGTTCACCCAGGAGGGAAGCCCCATTGTTGCAGTGAATGTGGAAAGCCTACAGTTGGAAATATCAGCTTATTTTACACCAGAGAAGTCACACAGGAGCAAAACCTATGAATGCTGTGAATGTGGGAAAGCATTTAGTTTGAAGTCCTCATTTGTTGTACATAAGAGAACTCACACAGGGGTAAAACCTCAAATGCAATGAATGTTGGAAGGCATTTAGGAATAAATCTTACCTTCTTGTTCACCTCAGAATGCACACAGGGGAGAAACCTTATCAATGCAGTGATTGTGGGAAAGCCTTCAATGTGAAAACACAGCTCTCTGAACACCAGGGAGTTTACACTGGAAAAAAATCCTTAACAGTGCAGTCAGGGTGGCAAAGCCTTTGGCTAAAAGAAGCAGCTCACTGCTCATTGGCAGGCTCGTGCAGGGGAGAAAGCATATGGTGGCAGTGAGAGTGGAAAATCTTTCAGCAGCAAGTCATATCTTGTACACAGGAGAACACACACAGGAGAGAGACCCTCTGAAAGTAGCTGATGTAAGTGAACCTTCTGTGGAAAAGCTCAGTTAATTACACAGCAGAGAACTCATTCAACGGGGAAGCCATATGAATGCAATGAGTGTGAGAAAGCTTATCCCAGGAAGGCATCCCTTCAACTACTCCAGAAAATACATTCTGAGAGAAGCCTCATAATTGTAGTGAACTGGGGAAAGCTTTCACTCAGAAGTCCTCTCTCAGTGAACACCAGAGAGTTCATACAGATCAAAACCCCTGGTCATGCCCTGAATGTGGGAAATCCTTTAGTTGGAATTCAGGTCTTTGTATACAACGGAAAACTCACAAGGTGGATACCTGGTAATGAAGTGAACGTTAGGTTCTTTCACAGGAGCTGGTGTTCCAGAGACCTCAAATGAGAAATCAGACAGTCTCTGTGGGAGAACACTCATATTTGTGTAATGAGGCTGCAAAAACTTTCAGAAGTTGGGTACATAAATCTTGGCTGAGAAGAGAACAGTTGAGGGAGCGAGGAATAATGAACATAGCAAGTGTGGTTGGCCCTGTCATGAAGAACTGTACTCCTTGTAAGTTGAATAAGCAAGGAAGGCTGCGCTTGGTGGCTCACTTTTCATTCCAGCTCTCTGGAGACAGAGGCAGATGGATCTCTGTGGATTTTAGGCTATCCTAGTGAATTCTAGGATAGCCAGGGCTATAATAGAGAGAACGGTCTTCAAAAATAAAAAAATAAATAAAAATAAATAAATAGAAAATAAATAAAAGAATCCTTTTCCACCAGGGAAAGTGTTACATGCAAAGTTACATTCCAGATTTGAAGCTTTGTCTTTATAAAAATAAAGACCACCTCATTAATAATAACATTTTACATAGTAGAGTACAAAATTGTTGTTGTTTTTTGTGTGTGTGTGTGTGTTGGGGGAGGAGGCAGGGTCTCCTGAACCTTAGGCTGGCCTCAAAGTGGATATGTAGCTGTAGCTGGCTTTGACTCTTCTGCCTCTACCTCCCAGTGCTAGGATCTCAGGTGTGTGCCACTATGCCTGTTTTGTATGTGTGTCTTTTATTGTTGTTGTTTGTTTTTGTTTTTTTTTTTAAAGACCATTTCAGGGACTTATTCTGACATTTAAGGAATATTTTGTGTAGCTTTCCATAGTTAACCCTGATTAGCACCTTTAAAGATAATTATCACAAAAGAAGGCATCAGAGGCCATGAGAATACAGTTAATAGCTGGTTGTGAGCCACCATGTGGTTGCTGGGAATTGAACTCAAGGACCTCTGGAAGAGCAGCCAGTGCACTATAACCTCTGAGCCATTTCTCCAGCCATTCCTTCATAATGATTGTGTGTGTGTGTGTGTGTGTGTGTGTGTGTGTGTGTGTGTGTCTGTAGGTGTGTGTGTGTGTAGGTGTAGGTATGTTCATGTGTCTGTGGAAGCTAGTGGTGGATGTTAGATCCCCTGAAACTGAAATTAGTGTTAGTTAAACATCTGGTAGGTGCTGGGAACTGAACAGTGTCCTCTGGAAGAGAACCAGGAAGGGCTGGCACTTTAGCTCTGAGCCATCTCATCTCTCCAGCCCTCTTTTTAATTACATTTGTTTATTTGTGTGTGTAGGCCACAGGACATCTTGCAAGAGTTGGTTTTTGCTTCCAGCATGCTAGTCCTAGAGATTAAACTGAAGTCATCAGGCTTGGGGGTAAGCATTTGTATCTGCTAAGCCATCTCACTGCCCCAATTTTTATAACATGCCTCAGTATTTTTAATTTTTAAATGCTAATCATTATATCAGTACTGTGTCTTTATTTTTTAGCAGTGTGACTGAAAATAGTGAGGCTTATGAGTGGAAGAATACAGTTCTCACTCCCATGTAACTTTATTTACCTAGGAGTCTGTCTCCATGGCCAAGTTTATCTTAGGCTGCTTTGTAAGTCTGAGTGTTGCAAACACTTGCCTTGTTCATGTTCTGTACAGATGCTTAAAGTTCTCTGTTTTCTATGGATAAAGACCTCTTCCGTTCTGTTTTCTTATGGTAGTGTCTTCTTGAGCCACAAATGTAACTATTAATTACTGGATAATAGTGACCTCCAAGCTTCTAAGTTAGAAATCCAATCTCATGTGAACCAGATCAAAATGCGAAAACTCATTTTTTCTGTTGTCTGTTGAGACTAGCAATTCTGCTGAAATAATCCCCAGAACAACTATATATAATTCTGTTTTGAACCAGGTTCTTGGGTGTGTGCTTTGTTGTCTTTTCAAGAACAGTGGGGATTTTCTGGCATAATAACTTTCAACCAATGTCTGATTTGATTTAAGGCCCACTCCATGAGATGGAATCCATACTCAATATGGCTTGGGTGACCAAGAACCTGAGATAGATAGATAGCCCAGGGACCTTGGGGTAAAACCAAATACTGAAGAGTTTAAGTTAGCATGGGTGACTCCATTTTGAAATGAGAAGCCATCTTGACCAGGAGCTGAACTCAGGTACCAGGAAATATCACAGAATGTGCACTTGGCAGAAAACAAAGTTAACTCTCCTAGCAACAGCCTCCAGGAAATATCGCAGAATACTTGGTAGAAAACAGAAACAATCTCCCTGGCAACAATCAATGAGAAATAGTTGGAAAAATTCTCCCCAACTTCCCAGATGTAGTTTAGAATGGCAATTGTGATTATGTGTCTCAGGTAGAGGGTCACCTCGCCCCTATGACTTTTACCCAATCCCGTAACGTCAAGGCATGAACCCCCCTGCTCGCTGTCATGAAAACCCCTGCTTGCAGTTTTTCCCTTTGAAAACCCTGTTCACTCAGGGTCCCACTTCTCTACTGCTGCATCAGTGAGACTTGGGTCTCAAGTTCGATTACTCTCATAATAAAGCTCTCTTGCTTTTGCATCAGTCATCTCCTGGTAGTCTCTGAGGGTCTTGTGATCATGGCATAACAATACTACTGTTCTAAAAAAGGAACATAGCAATAAAATGACATTCTTCTATATTCAGATTTGTGTCTAGCTCAGCCGTAATCACAGAAGCTTCCTCCTATAGCAGATTGGAATAAATACAGAGTCCCACAGCCAGACAATACTGAGTGAGAGACTTCAGAACACTCATCTCTAAAGGGTGTATACTTCAAATCCCCCCACCTCAGGGTTCAGGGAACCCTGTGGAAAGGAGATGGAAAGAGTGTAAAAGCTAGAGGTGATAGAGGACAGCAACGAAACAGGGCCTTCTAAACACAGTAGGACCCACACACATACAAAGTCACAGAGACTGCGGCAGCTACACATGGCCAGCATGGTCTGCACCAGATGTGCTCCTAGAGTTGAAAGGTGAAGTGAACACGTGCCTCCATCCCTAAGAGCTGTCTCCAGTTGATAACTACTTGCAAAGGAAGAATTAGTTTTCTCCAAAGACATCTCACTGGGTAAATAAAATACTCTTTAAGGGTAGACTGTATGCCTATCAGTAGATCGCCAACAGAAAGAAAACAAATTGATATATTTGGAGGTTCCTCGTCTCATGATGTTGTATCAGGGCTTAAAACAACAACAACAACTTATTTATTTGTTTCCCTACAGATTTTTGTTCTATTATGGCTTCTAGTTTTGTGTTTTTATGGGATTCCTGAGTGTAAGAATGAGTGTGTCTCTGTGTCTACGTATGTATGTTTCTTGTGCCTTTTATTTAGCTCTCTTCCTTTTGTTTGTTTTGTCTTATTCCAACTTATTTATTTTTATTTTACCTTATTTTTATTAATATACCTTAGATGCCTGTTTGTTTGCTAGTGAGAGACAGAATGGTGGTGGATCTGGATGGGAGGAGAGGTAGGGAAGAGCTGGGAGGAGTGGGGGTAGGACTGTAATCAGAATATATTATATTGAAAATATTTTCAATAAAAGAAAAATTAAGAATGATTCTCTTATGATGTTAATTGAGAGCTGTCCTGGAATAGTGTGTTGATAACATGTTTTTAGAAGTATTTTATGTGGTGTTTTCCTGAAAAAAGAAAATGGCTTCCAACTCTCAAGTATTCCAAGATAGGAACTTTCAAGCCCATATTATGATATATTCTTATTGCTTATATATAACTAGAATATTATTTCTTCTACTGTTAGGAATCTGGGAATTCAGGAGGCAGAGTCAGGCAGGTCTCCGTGAGTTTAAGTCCAGCCTAGTGTATACAATGAGTTCTAGGCCAACTAAGCAATAAAATAAGGCCCTAAAAAAAAGAATGTCAAGAAAAACTCTTGTTTCAAATTACAAAATCTGAAATAATTTCAAAATAATGAGGAAATCTGGAAGAGATTAAATAGTTGGTTCATACAAGATCTTAGGTCATAAAAATGACAGGCCTGAACTTCTAAATGTAGGTTCTTAAAAATGTGTTTTTTTCAGAGCCAGACATAAACCCAGACATAAGAAATAAGTATCTCTGAAACACAAACCTGGGGTGGGCACCATATGGAAGCTCACCATTTGCTATAACTCCAGTCCCAGGCATATCCTGCCTTCTTCTGGCCTCTGATGGTATGTACACAGACACATGCAGGCAAAAACACACATATATAAGATAAAAATAAAGCTAAAAAAATAAGATTCTATTTGGTGATGTCCCAGCCCTGACACAGACAGCAGTCAGGACAACTTAAAATGAACTCTCTGGTCTTGCAGGGAAGCAGCTGTGGCCTTGCTCTGAGCCAGCCTGCTCAGAGGCAAAAGCAACCATGTTCTGAGGTTAGAATGGTTCAGCAAAGCTGTTCCTCTAAGAACAGTGTTCACAGTGCTGACAGGTGACTCTTCCTTGTTGCTTTCTGAATTTGTGTTCTCTGTCCTTTGTATATGTGAGAATTATGGCATTGGTACATCTACCTGTTAGGTCACACATCATGATTAACAGGTAGCATTGGCTCCTGGGAAATCTACTTTCATGGTGTCATTTACTTGATTTTTGGCTAAGACCTTGTGGTACAAGATGGACATTCTGGTCATTTCTGTCCATCATTTTCATAATTTACACATGTTTCTGCATGACTTTGAGCTAAGAATGCCCTTAAATATCTCTGCTTTTACACTGTGACCTTGTTAGAAGAGGATTTAACTTAACATGCTTAGGAGTAGGCAGGCCTATGTTTGAACGTATCCAGACTCCCTAAGTAAAATGTCAATGTTTCCTTTGCTGAATATAATCATTGCTTTGGAAATGACTCCCATGCTCTGTTTGCCTGACACAGGAAAACAAATTCATTTTCAGCTCTTCTGTCTTGGGTGTTGTGATGGCTATTCTTGAAGGTCAAACTGACTACATCTGGAATTAACTAAAATCCAAAGAGTTGGGTTCTCTGGATTTGGTGACTTTTCCTAATTATAGCCTATGAATTGAGAAAACCCTTCTTTAATCTGGATCTTTTGAGGTGATAAGAACCACCTTTAATCTAGGCCACAGCTTCTGGTGGCCTAGAATATACATACATATATAAAGCCTACATATATAAAGGACATTGAAGATGGGAGCTCTTTCTCATCTGTTTTTCCTACCTCTGGCTAGAAAATTCTTTTTTTTTTTTCCCCTGGCATTTGTAGGCTTAGATTTTTCACCAAACTTAGTTTATTTAGAGTTCTTAATAAACTCTTATTTAGAGTTCTTAGTTTATTTAGAGTTCTTAAACACCTTTGCTTCCCTTCCAACTTCCCCCCACCACACACACACAGAAGAACAAAATTAAATAACAGATAAAAAGGGACATGAGAGCACTAGAACAATACAATACCTCTTAAAGTCATTTCAGGTATTTGCCAACATTTTTCATTCAATTGTTTTCAAAAATTAATATTGCCAAGCATGGTGGCATATGCTATTAATCCACATACTTTGGGGGCAAATTCATGTCCATGAATTTGAGGCTATGCTGGTCTATATAGTCACTTCCAAAGTATAACTCATCTCAAACGGACCTAAAATTTTTGGAAAAGTGAATATTATTGTGGTGTCAAGAACCAGGAAGCAACCACCAAAATGTTGTAAGGTAAAAAATTATTTTATGTCCAGGCCAAACTTGCAGTCTCCTCTGAAGTAGGAGACATAAGCAGTCGCAATTCAAAGCAAGGCACCCTTTTTATAGTCAAGCTCAGGATGGAGGTATATAGCAAGTGATTGCGCCTCAGTGAGAGCTGTCCATGGTGACTGTTCCTGCCTCAGCCTACTGTCATGGGAACTGACATCTTTCCTGCCTCAGAATGCCTACTGCCTCTGTCATGGGAGCTGTCCATAATGATGACAACCTTTCCTGCTGCTTCAGCATACTGCCTTCACAGTGGACTCTGTAAATTTTGGAATGTTAGTATACTTCAAAACAGAAAAACAGAAAAGTGGCCAGACCCCTGCCTGAGGAAGCTCCAGCAGCCCAGCTCCTCCCACAGACCTCTGTAACTGTCACCTCCAGCCCCTCAGTAGGACTCATCCCAGATTATGCTAATTTGAGGAGAAAAGTCTGGAGAGGACCTCACCAATTCCTGAGCTTCCCACTAAAACCCACCAATCCTTGAGCAAGAGAATTGACCCATCCCTGAACAGGAAAGCCCACCAATTTCTGAGCTCCCCAAGTTCAGGACTTGAAATCCCACCAATTTATACTCTGGAAATCTCTGCCCTAAAAAGCTCTGCCCCTTAAGAAATATTATATAAAAGCTGTGTCTGCCCAGTTTCCTGTTGCCTTCTCCTGGGAGTGGAGGCAGCCACTCCTGGATTCATCCCTCCAACAAATCTCTTTAAAAAAGATTTACTGCCTTTTATGACTCTCTCTTTGGAATAAGCAATGAAGAAGAGAAGAAAGAAACAAAGGAGTGGAACTCAAGCTCCTAAGTTCCTCAGCTCATCAGGGGTTGAGACAACCCTCCCTTGGGAGCTACACCTGCTGGAGAAGGAGCGGGTCTCAGGCTCCTGAGCTCCTCAGCAGTTGGGGTAACCCTCCCCTGGGAGCTGCAATGTCTCTGTTGGGGCCTCCTCTCAAAGCTGTGTGGTTCCTACGCTCCTGTGCATGAGGATACCACTGGGACACTGTCCCACCTCAGAGCTGGATACCATCCCAGGCCTCTGAGTTGTGAGTTTCCTGCATACCCTTCTAACCTAGTACCAGAAGGCAGACCACCATCACCAGGCAGCAGGTAGTAAATTCTGCCTGACTGCTTGTGCTCATTAGGGCCTTTTGCTCATCTGAGCTGATTGTCCCAGAGACTGTAAAATCTCTAACACTACTCTCCTTCCATTCTAATTATGGGAAATTTAACATCACATCAGAGAGATTTCAAAATTAACTCCCTTAGGGTTTTACTTAATCTCAAGGGCTTAAATCTCCCAAAAGGAAGGCTGAGGATTCTGGAAGGAGGTGCTTCAATTTGCACCTTGGGTCATATCAGCAGATATCTTAGACCCAGATTTCTGGACCCATGTTGCTTATCTGGCTTGTTTAAAAAAAAAAAGGAGCCCAGGAAGGCTATTAGTTTCTGTCTCCCAGTGATAGCAGCTATTAGGCAATGCATAGAAAAATCTCCCGAGCCTGAGAATGATCCATCAAAATAAAAAACACAGGAAGACTTAAATTGGACCAGACTCAAATAAGGAGGAAGACCTTGAAATTGTCCAATAGCTGACCTAACTGCCCTAGAAAAAGCAATTGACTTAGACAAGAGTTACTCTCCAGCCCAAGGCCTCTTACAAGTCTCACCCCAGCCACTTACTAGCTACAGAGAACAAAGACCTTGACTCTCCATTGGCTTCAGAGAGCAAAAACCTGCCAAATAAGACTCAGACCCTTCAAAGTGCTCAGATAAGCTCTTCCTCATCCACATCACTGCACCAGCCTATGGCTCCTCCACCCACAGCCATAAAACAGCTTTGTAATCACAGAGATCAACAGATCTTTAATCTCGGACTTACTGGGAACATTTACTCTCATCTCAGCATGAAAACTATTATCTCCAGTCACCCTAGCCCTAATGGCCTGGAACCCAGGGACCTCCACCTATAAAAAACGTTCCCTGTTAATTTACATTTAACTAGGCAACATCCCCTAGCCTGGTACCCTCTCTCAGCTACACATATAAAAGAGCAAAGCCAAGCTGTTCATGAGGATAAAATTCATGCCCCGTGGATCAAATCTATTTTAGAAAGTTTTAATAAAAAACCTTTTAACTCCCCAAGACTGGAGAGATATATGCAAATCTTCTTTCCCCAGCTCTTTGTACAACCAACTCTTTGGCCAAGGTAATTTCTCTACCAAAATTCAGCAGGCTTTAATCCCTGCCAGCTGCCTGGACCAAGTCTGATCATGTGCACTCCAGGCCTGGGACCATTTAACTCCTTTATCCTCAGGACATGGAGAGGCCTTTCCACTGGCCCCCTTAAAACAAAAATCAACCAAGACCCTCCTAGATTTTATACTAAGTATACAAGCCAGTCAGGACAGAAAAATAACAAACCCTGCTGAAAAAGCAATGCTCTTAAACAATTCTATCAGGGATGGAATGACCCTAGAACAGAGGCAAGCATGCCAGAGACCAAGACATGAACATTATGACAAATGATATTGTGACTGACTCTTACCAGCCCTCCTCCCTAGCACAAGCCTTTAAAATTACAATACAGCCTAATTCAAAATGTTTTAAACAGTAATAATAAAAAAAACTAGACCCTGGAAGGAAAATTAACCCAAAAAAATGACTCAGCTGCCTTCAAGCCTCCTAACTTTTCTAAGTAAAGTGACATGTCAAGCCTTCTCCTCTGCCATTCTATGGCTGCCCTTAACAATAATGCCTCAATATCTCTCCATAGCTTGTACCAGGAACTAAAGCCCATGCTAAATCATCATAATATTGTTTTACAGGAAAAACAAATAAGATCAAAAGCATCCTACTAGTTAACAATTGTGCCCGATACGAGAGACCCCAAAAGACCACTAGGAGTCTAGTCCGTTGAATACGCTTTATTCAAGCTTAAGCTTGGGCTTTCTAACCTGATGCAGCAGGTTAGAAAGTGAGGCCCCGAATCTCAGGGAGGCAAAGTTTTTAAAGGGAAGAACAGCGAGCAGGGAATTCTAAGCCTTGCAATTACAGGGAAGGGAAAGTTTTGGGTGAGGGGGTTCCTTTAGGCAGATTGTTCCAAGCTACCTGGCCAAACCATCAGATATTTAAGATATCTGTACGACAGCCTGCTGGGTGGAGTGGAGGACCCATTAACACATTCTGTGCCATTTATGACACCTGACACCGAGGATCCATCATTAACACATTTTGTGACATTTATGACACCTGACAGGGTGGAGGGCTATGTGGCCCTTCTCGGAACCCAAAGGTGGGGGTCAAGGCACTCCAAGGTCAGTCAACTTAAGACAGAGTCTGAGAAACAAAATGGAGTCACCCCTGCCATCCTCAGTTTCTTCACAATCTCCAAACTGCTGTTTTTCCTTCATGAAAGCAGTATTAACTTCAAGGACTTGATTTATAATGCTTCCCTGCCTTATGCAGTCAATTTCTAAAAAGTTATTAAAACATACAAAGAATCTTCTTACAGAGGTCACATCATTAACATGGTGTTTCATTCCTCAAATACTTTAAGCAGGTGGAAAAAATGATGATAAAGGATGTTGGACTGTTGTGCCCAGATCTTAGAGTCCCCAAAGACTTCCAGGAGCCAGACTACCTATGCAAGAGCAAAGAGCTTTATCCAGGCTTAAGCTTGGTCTCTCCACCTTACAAACACAGTGGATCAGAGAGGAGAGACACAAGCAGCTGCATGGCAGGGTTTTTTATTGGGGTTTGAGCAAGGACCAGGAATTTACAGCTTAGCAGTTACACAATTGGGTGACATTTACAAAGGGCAAGCTTGTTACAAAGTGATTGGCTAACTAAAATAACTAATATTGAGCGAGCTATCTATAGACCACAGGAATGTTAGGTATTTTTTGTGACGTGAATGTTTTACTACAAGGTCAGTGGGCTGCCCAACACAGATGCCTCACCCTGAGATAAGATACGTTCCCATTCTTGTGATTACCTCCAGGCTATTCCTTGGGTAGGGAATTTTATGGTCTTATTCCTGGAATTGGTGACCTATGACCTAGTTCCTGGAGCTGATGACTTTGGGGGGCTGCAGATAGGCCTGGTCCTTTCAGGGCGAGGATTGAGATTTCTCAAATACATGCCTCCTGCTCACTGCAGTGCCCACCCAGGGATGCTGATGCCAAGGAAGAATGATGACATTCAACACATTACTGACTTCCTTCCCTTCATTACCCATTCTAACACCTCTAACTCTCTTCTAGGCCTAAACCAATGGATCACTGATATGCTGTCAAACTGTTACGAGCTTAACTTACATATTACCTCTTTTCTTCCTACAGTGTAAAGGGGAAAATACCATCCTGCTGAGACACCCCTCTGCTAGAGTGACCCCGCTTATGATTATTCCACAGATCTATCTCTATGAGGAAGAGAAAACTACCACAAACCAGAGATGTTTGTGGTAGACACGAGACACCAGACACGAGAGATGTTCATTCATCCCTGGACCTGCCATACTTCTTGGATCTGCCTGGACCACAATAGCTGTGATCATCCAGACACACCTAACTAGAGACTTTTGAAACAAACTCGACCAGGAGATGAAATGAAGTTGGTTCAATACCCCTTATCTCCCCAGCTCCTACCCCTTATTAGCCCTCCAACTGTGTTATATTTTATTTGGATGCTTGACTTACACAGTTACTCCAGCAACAGGTGACCACTATTGCTGGAATCACCACCAATCAGGCCATGGTATGTTACCAGATCCTACATCACTCTAATATAGATGATAGATTTCTTAATGCTCATGATGACACTTCTCTATTAAAAAATAAAATGAGATGTTGGAGGAAGCCTGTTTGAGATTGCGGTTCTAGCCAAAATAGCCATTCTGAGCTAGGTGTTAAAGTGCAGGACTCCCTCTTTCCAGCAGGGCCTTTTGCTCTCTGCCTGACTTCATCTGAAAAGTGTCTTTGGACAAAGACAGCCCTACCCACATTTGATATATGGCCTTTGACACAACTCCCTGCTGGCTCTTCCCTGCCCACACCTATATGATAATTAGGTACTGTGTTTTCTCTCATATGATAGGAGCTTGCTGTACAATGCAAATCAGGCATCCTTGAAGTGCCTAGTCCAACCAATTATGGATACTTATCCTTGGAGGCCCCCACCCATTCCCTAAGGGGTAGATAGCCTTTGTTCTCTGGAATTAAAGTTGAATAGCTCCCTGCTGGTTCTGGGTGTGTGATCCCTGTACAGTGCCCGATTGCCATTCCAGGCAAGCTTCTCTTCTTGTGCCCCACCTGACTTCTTGGGCTGCTGGGAGACAGCCCCTAGGCAGGCGGATAACCACACTGTCAAATGTTAAAAAGCTATCTGTAATTTTTGCTGTCCAGTCTTTTAATGTTGAAGAAAGTTCAGAGCTTAACTGGATCCTGACTGGAACAGTCTGTAATGCTGGTCTATCTAGATTGCTGCTTTGAAATTGTACTGGATACAAATTTTTGAGGAAACTCAAAAATTATTATTGAGGCTTTCTGTGAGGTTGGATCATCTGGGATACTTGTCTTTCTTGGTGTCTGGTCCTTTGCTATACAAAATACTCACTTTCAAAGATATTATATATTTTTGTTTAATATACATATGAACCATCAATTAAAGACGATTCTCTGCTCTCTGAGCAGGTAAGAAGAAACCACAATGCAATATAAGTTTTTATTTATTCTGTTTAAAGTCCTGAGGATTTTGTAGCTAAAGATTAATTGGCTATGCAAAGCTGAAGTCCTGGCTGAAGACAAATAGTCAGTCTCAGAGCTGTTCCCATATGGAAGGATCAGAAAATTATGTTACCTGTCCTGTTCGGTCTTCTCAAATTTTTTCCTTCTGTCTGTAGCCAAGATCTTCAGGAAGTCTCCCCCTGTCAAATCTGATTTCCAACAGTCTGGATGGAATACATAGCTTTTTGTTTCCTATTGAGACAAGAGCATATTCTTCTCCCCAATAAACACATTTCCTGTCTTACATTTTGGATTTAGAACCTTTACATGCTGATCTAATGCAGGAGTTTTTTTTTTGTTTTTTTTTTTTTTCCTAAAATGCAGTGTATTCTAGCAGGTAAAAATTTTTTAATTTCATTTTAAAATTTAAAAACAACAAATTATTATTAAACCTATTTTAGAGATATTATAGCCCCCTTCTGTTTTATGACCATCTTTTGAAAGTTATTATTAGATCTTTTCTTCTATAACCTATAGGATTATAAGTTATATCTGTAACAAGTTTCATTTCATAATGTTTGAAAAATGTTGTATTCCAATGAATATACATGCTGAAGCACCATCAGCCCCAATCTGCAAAAGTATTTCTAAGACAGTCACCTATCTCTAACAGATGTGTAACCTGAGAATCATGCTTTCCAGAATTTAAGGCAAAGGCCTACTGGAATTCTGAATATGAACTTATGGCATGGTGCATATATTTCAGTTCTTCAGACTCTGCCTAATGGAGCACTGAATGAGCACTGTATGACCTTGTTCCAAGGAAACACCAAACAGGATCTGCATTCCTACTTTAGCGTATAGAGCTTCACCTCGTAATTGAACCTTCACAATACACATACAATATCCAGTCTGACCTTGTCAGCCTATAGCTGAAGCCTTTCTACCCAGTATCTCAATGGGCTGCCATTCAGCAAATTCTTCAAGCCTTTGTATATTTTCCTCATCTGTAACTACCTCTTTTGGTGTTAAGTTCCAGACTGGATTTCTCTAAAGGTTCCCGATTTTGATTCAGCGTCCTCCAACCTCTGTTCTATGACCTTTAATTTAACATCTAATTTCTCAGTCTCTTCTTTCTCCAAGTCTGTCTTATTCTAATCTCTCCCAAAGGGGATATGCAAAACTAGACCTGTCATTGAAAAAATTATTTGTACGCTAAGAGAAACACTCAAATTGAATCCGGAAGCACTGTGTCATTGAGTCTTCCATCTTTTTCAACACAGAAAATAATCTTCTTTAATCTCAAAACATCTCTCTAAGGACTTTAATTTTTTAGACCCAGTTTCCCTTCTAGACCTTACTAGTTTAGATGCTCGAGGCTTCTTTGTCTCTGGCTCCTGCTTGCAAAGACTTTTTTTTTCTGCCTCCTTTAATGGATCCTGGCCCCTCCCCACTCTGAGAACTTATTCAGTCCCCAAGTGTTTGCTCCTCTGGTTAGGCTAAGCAAGAGCCTGTTCTCAAAGGGAAAATCTGGCTTTGAGAAGCTTGCTTGTGTTAAAGAGCTCCTTTTTTTCCCCCCTTACCAAGGGCTTCCTAAAAGAACTGCTTCTATGAGGTTGGTTTTGGCTTTTGGTTTTCTACAGCCAGTGGGAGTCCTTGCAGCTGTGTGTGTGTGTGTGTGTGTGTGTGTGTGTGTGTGTGTGTGTGTGTAGTGGGGTGTCTGTCTAATCAGGAAGCTGTGAGTTCCAGCCTTAGAAATTGGGGTTGCTCTTTTTCTTTAAGAAACATAACTAAAAAACTGCTCTGTAGTTTTACTTTCTGTAGAAGTTTGGGCCCACTTGGTATACCAAAATGTTAAAAGTATTTTTATAAAACTGTTTGTTTCTCAGTTTCTCTCTTAACCTGGCTATCTAAAATATAATAGTGAGCCTTTTATATTTGTTTAATAATAAGATTCACAAAAACTGAGCAGTTATTGCTCTATTTTTAACCCTCTAAACTAATTTGGCTTCCTCCTAGCATGCATCCAGAAATACTTGTACTCTGTAGCTTTTTTTTTTTTTTTTTTTTTTTTTTTTTTTTTTTTTTTTTTTTTTTGCTGAGCTCTCTGTCTCTCTCTCCTGGTTCCTCCTGGACATCTGCCCATGGCTAACCCGCTTCCTCCTTTAATTCCTCCTTCCCTGGCTGGCAGGAATTCTAGCCCTATTCTCTCCCTTGCACAGTGATTGGCTGTAAGTTGCTTTATTGGCATATCAGGGGACAATTGAGAAGCAGTGTTTAAATCGATTTCCTAAACCTTGGAGTTACTTCCATTTGAGTCTCAGGTTCTTCTGACATCAACCTCCATTTCATCTGGAGTCACCACAACTCAAGACTCATAACTGAATGCTTCACAGGCATCAAGGAAGCAGAATATTATCTCATTCAGACAAGTTGGTCTTCATGACTGCAAGTTCCTTTTCTCTCCTTACAGTAGCAATAAACTCCAACAGGGGTATACATGATGTATGCTGACTACTTACCACATGTGAGATAAACTGTCTTGTAGATTTGGTCAAGTGGTCATCCACCTTTTATAAAGACTTGTATTGTTGGCTCATTTTTTTTTGTCTGTTTTTTTTTTTTTTAAACTCTTCCCTAATTTTGTGGAGATTTGGACTGAGAAACTTCTTTAAGTACTAAGTCTAAGTTAGTTTCTGATGCTATCAATCTTATATTTCTTTTGGGTCATCAGACTGAGGTAAATATGAATTTAGGATTAACCATTCATACCTTCTTGAGATCGATGACATGTTCATGGGGCTGAATAGAGGGTTCAGCCCCCAAGAACACTGGATGCTCATTCACAGGGCCAATTTGATTCCCAATATCCAAAAGACAGCTCACAACTGTCTATAACTCTAATCACAGGGGATCAGGTACTCTCTTCCGGCCTCCACTTACATCTGGCATGCACTTGATATACACAGTGGCAAAACCTATGCATCTAAATTAAATCAATTTTAATTATAAAAAAATAACATACATGAAGAAAACTTTACAATAGACAATCGTGTGTGTGTGTGTGTCTTTTCACCATTTGTATTTCACCATTTCTGGCACTAGGAAGCCAGATGTCACAGATGTCCCGGACCTGGTAGTTCTGAGCCATCTGATATTGGCGCTAGGAACCAAACTTGGGTACATCAGAGGAGCAGTACTACTAACTCTCCAGATTCCAAATGTTATAATGCTTTTCCTCCTGTCTCCTATTACTTGAAGGTGATGAAGTCCCTGCTAGATGGCTGTTGAAGGACTCAATGGATTTCTATCCCTCTGTGAATGGACTCTTCACATTGTTTATTTTCAATGTTAACACAATTCTCTCAATATGAGCAAAGACAGCAAAAGGTTTTGTTGAAACCAGTCAGAATCCAGTCAGGTTATATTAGGAAATTTTCCATAATTTGAGATATACTCTTCCTTTTTGGAATGTTCTTGAGACAGGATACCTTTACATACCTGTGGCTGTCTCAAAACTCACTATGTAGACCAAGCTGGCCTCAAACTAAGAGAGATCCACCATCTCCCAGGTGCTGGGATTAGAGGAATGCACCTCTATGCCCAGCTGAGTTATGTTTTTAAAAGACCTATCTTTGAATCAGAGAATGAAAGGATAAAATAAAATTTAAAAGGAACCATCGTTTTGATGAACAGTAATACTTCCTGAAATTCTACAATAATTGAAACTGGCAAATCATTTTGTATGTTCTCAATAATTGTGTTAATTTCTTTGCTTTGTTAATTTTACCCATTTAAAAGTGTTTGAATGTGTTTGTGTGCCATGGTGTGTATGTGGCAGTGAGAGGACAAATTATTGCTGTATATTATCTACTTTTCCTATGTGATTTCTAGACATGAAACACAGGGAGTCATTTGATTCAAGTGAATCATTGACCCTTATTTGGGTTTAAAAATTATGTATGTGCTCGTGTGTAAGTGTGCATATGCCAAAGCCCAAGTGTAGAAAGAAGAGAAAAATTTGTAGGAGTAATGTGGATCTCCCAGAGATTGAAATCAGGTAATCAGGATTAGCAGTAACCAACTTCATCCACTGTGATGATTCTCTGGCATTCGTTTGTGTTTCTGAGAGTGTTATGAACAAATGAACATTAAACATTCATTAAACAAATGTTTAATGTCATGAATAAACTAACACATTCCCCAAAAAATTAGTATATCATTTTCATTGGCAAATAAGACTTTTTATGCAAACTGTCCTGTTTTCTTCCATTCTTAAATGACAATGCTTACAATCTGAAAAAAAGACAATATTTTACTGATGTAATGTTTCAACTAATCTCTGAGCATCAATGAAATGGCTGAGAAATGTCTCTGGTGTGCAAAGCTGGCAACCTGACCTTGATCATCATATAAAGATGGTCAAAGTGAAACCCACAAAGTTTTCTTCCAGTCTCCACATATCTGTCATGGCCTAAAAACCCATAATCACATTACACACACACACACACACACACACACACACACACACACACACACACACACGGGGGGGGGGAGTAGGGAGAGAGATTTCTTTCTTAAATCTCATTGTTGTCACATTACCTAGCATTTCCAGATAATTCACTTAGAAGTCATACTTCAAGGTGACATGCCAAATGGCAACTAATGGGAACATGAAGAAGCATGGAAAAACAAGTTATACATATCCATATCAATCAAACTATGTTGCTGAATATCCTACTTCAATACATTTCTACCAGACAGATAAAAATATTGCTTTGGATACACATATGAGGTATCTAATGTTTCTTATATTCTCTTCTATTAAGCATTTTAACATTACCATTGTTAAAATTATTGACAAAACAGGACACATTAAGGGTATATGTTCTACCCTTGGATGGCCTAATTAACTTCTGTAAGTAGATTTGCCACACATACAGCAAACTTCAATACCTATTCCAAATGTTTCAAAATATAAGTCACAACCACAATTGGTGATCTCTATTACATTTGAGTGAACATGATAATTTACTTCCTTTAAGGCAGTGATGAAAAAAATAAGTTTTCCATGAACCCAAAGACAACTATGATATCTAAAGTCTTTATCAAATCATTTAAATGAATAGGGTTTTTCTCTTGAATGAGTCATTTCCTATTCCTGACATCAAGATGATATATAAAGGCTTTAAAATATCTGCAGAGTAACAGACATGGCTGAACAGTTAAGACAAGCTGATTCCCAGGACCAAGGTCATGTTTTTGACAACTTCCTGTAATTCCTGCTACAAGAAGATCTAAATGTCTGTGATCTTCCTGGGAACCAGCATGCACATATACACAAATATATATACTGACATCACATAATTAAAATTTTTAAAAACTGTTAAACAAATAAATTTTTACTCATAACTGCTTTTGTGTAAGCATTCATTTCTGTAACTCAGGTGTTGAGGCACCTAAAGGATTACAATCTTACAGAGTTCTTCTTTATCATGAATTGGTTCATGTAACAGAAAGCCAGCATGTAGGCTTCAAGTCAGAAAAATTAATCCTTCTCGGTTGATAATATCATTTGGAAATATTTAGGAAATGCTGCCCTGCAGGAGGAAATGTCACTTGTGGTAGACTTGAGTTTGCATCAGTACACGATTTCTAGTTCCTACTTTCTGCTTCATGCTGCTGGTTGAGGATAGGAGCTCTCAGATTTCTGCTTTAGCTGCCATCTGTGTGACACTTGTTGCACTGTCACTTTCACGGTGATTCCATATCCCTCAAACCATAAGCCAAACTAAACTTTTATAAGCTGCCTTAGATATTGTATTCTCTCACAGAAACAGAAAAGGCACTAATACACACCCATAAAGTTTTTCACCTGGATAAGTTATTTCATGTAATTGAAGAAAATTGTGAAATCTAAAAGGATTACCTTGTTTATATTTACAGGGTTTTTGTCCATATATTTTTGTTTGCAAGTGCAAACAAAATAAGGAAGGACATCATAATGCTTGAAAAGATTGTTCACACTTGTCAGATTTTTTCTCCCATAATAAATAATCTTGTGTAACTGAATGCAAGTGTGTGGGCTAAAGATCTTACCAATTCCTTTACAGCCATAGAATCCCTTCAGTATGATTTCTTTCAGGTCCTCAAAGACAACTGTGATATGCAAAGACTTTAACAGATTGATTACACTAAAGTTTTTTGTATGAAGTGCAAAACTTTGCCACCCTGACTACATTTATATGGTTTCTCTGCAATATGACTACTGTTTCTCTCATGTTTTGAAGACTACTGCTACATGCAAAGGCTTTACCAAGTTGATTATTCATAGGCACCTGTTATGAAAGGGCTCTATCAACATTGATTACATTTATAGGACTTCTCCCCAATGTATGTTCTTTTATGTATTCAATGATTGTGATATGCAAATGTTGGGAACAAGCGAAAAAGAAAAACTTGTCTTAAGTACTGCCTTTTTGTTATCAGCCTCTGTCTTAGGGTTTCTATTGGTTCAATGAAACACCATGACCACAAAGAAAGTTTGGAAGAAAGGATTTATTCTGGTTACATTTCCAGATTACAGTCCATCAGTGGGGGAAGTCAGAAAAGGGACTCAAGTAGGGATGGAATCTGGAGGCAAGGTCATGAAGGAATACTACTTACTGGCTTGCTCCTCATGGCTTGCTCAGCTTGCTTTCTTATAGAACCAGGACTACCAGCCCAGGGACGGCACCACTCACAATGGGCTGGGACCTCCCCATTGGTCACTAATTGAGAAAATGCCTTACAGCTGAATCTCAAGGAAGCATTTTCTCAACTGAGGTTCTGATGACTCTGGCTTGTGTCAAGTTGACACACAAACCCAACCAATACAACCTCCATTTAAACATAGGTTGGAACTAAGTTCAGGTTTTTATCCTAGAGGATCTGGGGACTTCCCAATAACTGACCAGCTTCCATCATTTATCTGTTCCCCCAAACATAAAGTCTGCCCCTAATCACAGCTTCTGTTCCCCAAACATAGTGATGTTTAACCATAGCTTGTGCTATTCATGTTTTGTTCCTCAAAACATAATGGTTGTTCCTAATGACAAAAGAACAAATAGATACAATTGTTTTACTGTAAAACCTACATTCTGTATCAGTTGACGCAAATCAACTGATTTACATAAGGAAAGGCCTATTTCTAAATCCTGATTCAGTAGAAAAATATAACTGTAACAAGTTACAGCACAGATGTTTATGGTTTTCAAACTAAAAAGTTCTGTAATGGGGGCTGGAGAGATGGCTCAGAGCTTAAGAACACTCGCTGTTCTTCCAAGCATCCTGAGTTCAATTCCCAGCAACCACATGGTGGCTCACAACCATCTATAGTAAGATCTGGTATACAGGCAGAATGTTGTCTAAATAATAAATAAATCTAAAAAAAATTCTGTAAAATTCTGGCTAAGAGGTAGAGGTGAGTGTCACAGTTCATCTCTCAAGCATGTTCTGTGGCCCTCATCAATTAGCAATGGCTTGATTACAATAAAGTCTTCTCATTTGCATTGACCTGGTGTTTGAGTTGTGTTGGACCCTATGACACAAAGGCCTTACCACACTTTTTAACATTCACAGAATTTCTCTCCAGTATGAATTTATTATGATAAAGACTATAGAAATATGCAAAGTTATCACCATTTTAACACATTCATAAGGTTTCTCTCCAGTATGAATTCTTTCATGATGATGAAATGTACAAAGGCGTCACCATATTAAATACTCATATAGAGCTTCTCTCCAGTATGAATTCTTTCATGCCTTTGAAGATGACTGTGACGCGCAAAGGCTTTACCATATTGATTACATTTATAGGGTTGCTCTCCAGTATGTATTCTTCGGTATACTTTGAGATAATTGTGATTCGCAAAAGCTTTACCACATTGCTGACATTCAAACGTTTTTCTCTCCAGTATGTGTTCTTTGCTGGATTTGGAGATTACTGTGATGTGCAAAGTCTTTACCACATTGCTGACATTCATAGGGTTTTTCTCCAGTATGAATTCTTTCATGCTTTTGAAGATAACTGTGATGTGCAAAGGCTCTATCACATTGGTTACATTCATAGGGGTTCTTGCTAGTATGTGTTCTTTTATGTATTAGGTGACTACTGGAATGTGCAAGGTCATTATCACGTAAGTTACATTCATAGGATTTCTTTCTAGTGTGTTCTTTGATGTATTTTGAGACAATTGTGATGTGCAAAAGCTTTACCACATTGCTGACATTCATAGGGTTTCTCTCCAGTATGTGTTCTTTGATGTATTTGGAGAGTTTTTTGACATGTAAAGGCTTTACCACATCGGTTACATTCATAGGGTTTCTCTCCAGTATGTGT